ACTCAACATTTAGATTTCTATCTATTTTATTGATCCTATTCGTTTCCCACCAGAGTGTCGATTAAACATGATTGGTGGTTAGTTTTGGACCATTCTGTATGTATATATACATATATATATATATGTATATTGGTTCTGGTGTTGTCATCAACGTTATTTTTGTGCTATTTTATCCCTGTATTCTATATTGTAAATCAGTGTTGTTAACATATTTGACGCTTTCAGAAATTTAATTAATATTTTGTTACATTCAATTTGTTTTGTTTTTTTCTGCTTGTAAAAATAGGTCGATTATTCAACGGGTTATTTTTCTATCTTCAGTATATAGGATGTTTAATAACTTGTAAACACATGTTAAGTAATCTTTTTTCTTTCATCTTTTAAATTTTTATTATAAAAATAATTAAACAGTTTTGGAGCCTGCTCCAGCTAAAATAAGTTGAGAGAAAATATTTAGCCTTTCCAACAATACCTTGATTAATCATTTACAAAATTTTAACCCACTTCCTTTTCACGTGTAACAAGAATAATTATACAAAAGATAGAATCAGTTGCTGTACAAAAAACTATTTTCAAGTATGTATGTTTTTTGACACATGATAAACGTTTTGGGATGAACCACTTTAACACCAAAATAGGTTAGCAAGTGCTAGGTAGGCTTAACGTCACTTAAGCCTAATTCATATTCACAATATAGTAACTCATTCGAATTGAAGTCTTTCTGGTGCGGAAAACTAGGAAGTGACAAATATAAAGGTGAAGTTTGAAATAAAAACTATTTTAACGGTTGTGAACTTGTGTTATTAACATGTCTTTAATTTAAAGTATAGGAAAATTCTAACAATATATGTATAAATTACTGAACATGTGTTAAATATCAAAAGTATCTTATTCTGGGGAATTTTCAAGGAATCTTTGTTGTGTGTTCTGTATAAAAAAAGTTGTAGATCATAAAATATTTCCTATCTTGTGTGAGTGTCTGTGAAAATACTGAAATGATTTCACTTCAGAGTTTATTAAGTTGCCAAGATGTATTAATTTTTATCGCAAACTATAACGTATGCTAAAACCGTGCAAGTACAATCCAAGAAATTGAAAAATATGATATTAAGTGGGATAACATACACGTATTGTTATGTCTATCGTAAAACAGAAAAAATAACCCACAAAAATGTATTTATGTTTTCAGGAATATAATGGACTTAATTATGATAATCAAACAGCGAAATTTAACTCCAATTCGCATATTTTAATTCTGATATATTGTTTCTCCACTACAGTTTCTTCTTAAATCCTACACTATATCTATATATATATAATTAAAAATTACTTTCTTCACCTGCTTTTTTATCCCTACCCCTAGCAACTCAGCAGTAAGTCTGAGTATTTTAACGCTAAAATTCGGGTATCGATACCCGCGGTGGGCAAAGCACAGGTAGCTCATTGTGTAGCTTTGTGTGTAACAACAAAACAAACAAGAATGTGTTTTATTAGCACTGATTAGTTTCAGAAAGGATTACTACATTTTAGTTTCAAAGTTTGACTTTTTTAGTTCTGTTAGTGACAGTGATGGATAACTGTTAAAATTTTATAACGTCAAAGTAAAAAGAATTATTGTGGTCGAAGAGTTACATCTAGCCTTTAATACATAATATATTTTACTCTAAATAATAAACAATACAGAGTGGTCCAAAATATTAGCCCAATTTCTCATGCCATGGAGCATGTGTTTCGACACAGGGTCAGTAATGCATTGACGTTCAATGTCTCTAAACGCATAAGTTTGATTTCTATCTATTTTATTGATCCTATTCGTTCCCCAGCAGAATGTCGATTAAAGATGATTGGTGGTTAGTTTAGGACCATTCTGTATGCATATATGTATATTGGTTAAGATGTTGTCATCAACGTTGTTTTTGTGCTATTTTATCCAACAAAACTGATACGACTCAGATCATAAAAAATAACTTGTTACATTTAAAATGGTACACTATACACAATACGGCATATCAATAAATACGTATAAATCTAGTATAACATTTGGATTTTTAGGGAAATTCAATCCTAAGACATTACAGAATACAAGACCATTCCTTTTTGGAAACAGGCCCGGCATGGCCAGGTGGTCAGGGCACTCGACTCGCCATCTGAGGGTCGCGTGTTCGAATCCCCGTCCCACCAAACATGCTCGCCCTTTCAGCCGTGGGGGCGTTATAATGTGACGGTCAATCCCACTATTCGTTGGTAAAAGAGTAGCCCAAGAGTTGGCGGTGGGTGGTGATGACTAGCTGCCTTCCCTCTTTTCTTACACTGCTAAATTAGGGACGGCTAGCACAGATAGCCCTCGTGTAGCTTTGCGCGAAATTCAAAACAAAACCTTTTTGGAAACCAACAAAAGTCTATTATTATTGAAGTCGTAGGGTGAAGGTAATAATAGTTATTTTAATTTCAACACCTATGATATGAAGGTATGATTTGCATTAAGCATAATTCATGATAATTAACAACACTTCTTGATATTTGGTAGAAATTCAGGTTTGAATTGGCTTCATTTAAGATATTTTTTGTTAATTTGTCTCTAATCAATTCGAGCTGATTATATCAATAATGTAGTTATATATAAGATGTCATTTTCTGAATTTCTGCTTCAAGGCTCTTAACCAAAAAACTATCTGTCACTTCAGTTTTTTGTTTTGTTTTTCAGATTCAAAGAAATATTTTCAATCATTTAATTTGCTTTTTATATAGTGACTTAAATAAATGCCCTTATTCAAGACTGAGTTGAAGTTATTTGAAATCGGGTCAGGTTTTCAACAGAACTAAAGTGGCCGAGCTTTTCATTACTTGTGAGGAAACTAAGCTAATCCAGAGGTCGGGGATATGTCCCCCGGAGCCCACTTTCCACCGGGGGACGGGAGGTGGCCTTGAGAGCGGCAAAAATATGTATGAAATAGATCAGTGTGGAACGTTTTAGCAAACGTTTACCGTGCCTTCAATTATTGGGTCGTCAAGAAATTAATGTCGCGTTTTGGAACACTTTCATTAACCACGCCACAAAAACCGTACATCATGTATAATAGTTGAACGAACCGCCTAAACGTCACGTTAGTGTAGACTATATAATTTGTAAGGTTTAGTATACTCTAATCCCTAATAGTGTTGGCACACGAAGAGACACGCATTCGGCATGTAATGCTGTTTGAGTACAAGAAGGGAAACAACGCCTCTATAGCCACAAAGAATATCAAAGAAGTTTATGGAAATGTCTTGAACGTTCGTAAGTGTCAACGATGGTTCAACAAATTTCGTTCAGGTGACTTTAGCCTTACAAACTGTGATGGC